AAAGATGATGATTTTGGAGGCCTAGCAAATATTACTCATTTAGAAGCTGGAGACTTCTTTGAGAATATTGACTGAAGAACTAATCATCTTGTTGGGGATTGAAGGCTATAATAAAAGTTGTCATTTTTTATGATTGCAACTAGTTTATTTTTCTTGAGTGTGTTTCCTAACGCATCATGTGTTGCTAGTATGTAATTTTTAATGCTTTTTTTTTTGTCTTTCATATTTCTTATAATGTACTTTTTGATTTTTTTTTTATGAAGAATATGAAAATTTCCTAGTCTTCAGTTGGACTCAAGATTAATAAAGATGATATATGTCTTCTGGATAGTGCTACAACACACACTATTTTAAAAGATATTTCTCTTATTTGGTAATGAAAGAAGCCAATGTTAATACAATATCCGGTAGTACAAAATTAATTGAAGGTTCTGAAAAAGCCAATTTATTACTACCAGGAGGAATACATTTGGCTATTGATGAAGCATTATATTGTAGTAAATCTCAAAGAAACTTATTAAGCTTCAAAGATATTCGCCAAAATGGATATCACATTGAGACTACAAATAATGAAAAGATTGAATATCTTTATATTACTACAATAAATTCGGGTAAGAAATATATGCTTGAAATGTTATCTGCTCTTTCCTCTAGCTTATATTACACAAGTATTAGCAGGATTGAAACACATGCCATAGTAAATGAGAAGTTTACTAATCAAGATAATTTTATTATTTGGCATGACCGGTTGGGTCATCCTGGCTCTACTATGATGCATAAAATAATTGAAAATTCACATGGACATTCAATGAAGAACCAAAAGATTCTTCATTTTAAGAAATTCTCTTGTGCTGCATGTTCTCAAGGCAAATTAATTATTAGACCATCAACGATTAAAGTTAAGATGGAATCCCTATATTTCTGGAATGTATACAAGGCGATATATGTGGGCCTATTCACCCTCCATGTGGACCATTCAGATATTATATGGTTTTGGTAGATGCATCTATAAGATGGTCTTACTATCAACTCGCAACATGGCATTTGCGAGATTGTTGGCTCAAATAATAAAGCTAAGAGCATAATTTCCAGATTATGCAATTAAGACAATTCGTCTTGATAATGCCGGTGAATTTACATCCCAAGCATTTAATGATTACTATATATAACCTGGGATAACAATTGAGCATCCGGTCGCTCATGTTCATACACAAAATGGTCTGGCGGAATCATTAATCAAACGTCTCCAATTAATTGCTAGACCAATGCTTATGAGAACAAAACTTCCCATTTCAGTATGGGGTCATGCTATTTTGCATGCAGCATCACTTGTGCGGATAAGGCCCACAAGTTATCATAAAGTCTCCCCATTGCAATTGGTTTTTGGCTAGGAGCCAAATATTTCCCATCTTAGAATCTTTGGTTATGCGGTATATGTTCCAATTGCTCCACCACAACGCACAAAGATGGCCCCCAAAGAAGGTTGGGGATATATGTTGGGTATGAATCTCCTTCTATCATAAAATATCTGGAGATTTATTTACAGCGAGATTTTCTGATTGTCATTTTGATGAATCAATATACCCAACATTAGGGGGAGAAAAATAAGCAGCTGAGAAAGGAGATAGATTGGAATGTATTATCACTATCTCATTTAGATCCTCGAACAAATCAATGTGAACAAGAGGTTCAAAAGATAATTCATTTGCAAAATATTACAAATCAACTGTCAGATGCGTTCACTGACCTACCAAGGGTGACTAAGTCATATATTTCAGCTGCTAATACTCCAGTTCGAGTTGATATCCCGGTAGGACAATCAATTAAAGCAAATGAGTTTAAACCACGCTTGAAACGTGGTAGACCAGTCGGTTCTAAGGATAAAAATCCTCGGAAAAGAAAAGGAGTAAATGATCAAAGTGATCATAATACGGAGGTAGTGGCTCAAGAAGAGCACATAGACATAACAAATGATAAGACCTCAAGGGAGGTTCAGGTACCTGAAAATGATGATGATGGAGAGATCTTAATAAGTTATGCCTCAACGGGGAAAAAATGGAACCGAAACAATATTGTTATTAATAACGTTTTTGCTTATAATGTTGTTGTTGAAATAATGCAACAAGACGAGGATCTTGAACCAAAATCTGTCGATGAATGTAGACAGAGAGATGATTGGTCAAAATGGAAAGACGCTATCCAGGCAGAATTAACTTCACTTGCGAAACGTGAAGTTTTTGGACCTGTAGTGCAAACACCTAATGGTGTTAAGCCTGTTGGATATAAATGGGTCTTTGTACGTAAAAGAAATGAGAAAAATGAGGTACAAAGATATAAGGCACGTCTAGTTGCTCAAGGATTTTCACAAAGGCCTGGTATCGATTATGAAGAGACATATTCTCCTGTTATGGATGCTATAACATTCCGTTATCTCATTAGTTTTGCTGTCCATGAAAAGCTTGACATGCATTTAATGGATGTGGTTCCATCCTACCTTTACGGTTCACTTGATAATGAGATATACATGAAAATTCCCGAGGGATTTAAAATGCCTGACGCACATAATTCAAAGTCTCGAGAAATGTTTTCAATTAAATTGCAAAGATCTTTGTATGGTCTAAAGCAATCAGGAAGAATGTGGTATAACCGCCTTAATGAGTATTTATTAAAGGAAGGTTATATAAATGATGTCATTTGTCCATGTGTTTTTATAAAGAAAACAACATCGGAGTTTATTGTACTTGTTGTATATGTTGATGACATAAACCTAATTGAAACTCCTACAGAACACCAAAAGGCAATTGATTATTTAAAGAATGAATTCGAGATAAAAGATCTCGAAAAGACAAAATTATGTCTTGGTTTGCAAGTTGAACATTTGGCAAATGGGACTTTTGTTCATCAATCTGCCTACAGGTATTGAAACGATTTTACATGGATGAAGCGCATCCATTAAGTACTCCGATGATTGTTCGATCACTTGATGTAAATAAGGACCCGTTCCAACCTCAAGAAAAGAATGAAGAGTTTCTTGGTCCTGAAGTACTATATCTTAGTGCAATTGGTGCACTAATGTATCTTGCTAACTCAACAAGGCCTGACATAACTTTTTCAGTTAATGTCTTAGCAAGATGTAGCTCTGCTCCTACAAGGAGACATTGGAATGAAATCAAAAACATATTGCGGTATCTAAAAAGGACTGCCGATATGGGATTATTTTATGGCAATGATTGCAGTCCTGATCTTGTTGGTTATGCCGATGTTGGGTATTTAGTTGACCCACACAAGGCTCGATCTCAAACAGGCTATGTGTTTACATGTGGAGGCACTGCCATATCTTGGCGACCAACTAAGCAATCAATCGTGGCTACTTCATCTAATCACGCTGAGATAATTGCTATTCATGAAGCAAGTCGAGAATGTATATGGTTGAGGTCTATAATACATCTTATTTGGGACAAATGTGGTTTGAACTCTGACAAATTACCCACAATTTTGTATGAAAACAATGCAACATGCATAACCCAATTGAAGGGGGGGATTTATAAAAGGAGATAGGACAAAGCACATTTCACCAAAGTTATTTTTCACACATGATCTTCAAAAGAATGGTGATATTAATGTGCAACAGATTCATTCAAGTGATAATATGGCTGATTTGTTCACCAAATCTCTACCGACATCAACCTTCAAGAAACTAGTGTACAAGATTGGGATGCGAAGGCTCAAGGATGTGAATTGATGCTCTCATCAGGGGGAGTTTTAAACGAGGCAACCAAAAAGCATATTTCTAAACATGTGTACTCTTTTTCCTTCATTAGGGTTTTTTCCTAATAAGTTTTAACGAGTCTATGGACATCCAAGGGGGAGTGTTATAAGATAAATCTTATGGTGGATGTTTAGTCCTCCTCCATGATTTTGACAAATGCTTGACATATTTTCTTCACTTTTCATGCCTATATAAAGGCCTTATAATAGATAGGAAAATACACACAATTAAAGAAGAAATAATTTCTCTTCTTTCATTCTATCTCTATTATCGTGTTCAAGTTTATAGTAAATTGCATTTAGTTTCATAACAATATATAGAGAGAGAGTGAGAGAGAGATCACACACCAGCCGGTGAGCTTCTTGCAAGTCAAAAGAAGGACCAATGGAAGCAATGACAAACTGGGGTCTAATCGTCCTCGCTAAAACCTTTTCAACAACCTCATTCACAGCACACTGCACCACAAATTCAACTTCAACCCAATACTTTCTTGTAATGAACTAAACAAAATACTCCATTTCATTCACTGAAGTCTAACAAACTGTTTATCGATTAAACTTAAGTGTATTCTTTCATCACTCCTCCTCTTGTATTTCATATAATAATATCAAAATTCAAATTTGTAAGCATAAATTACTCCTTCTGCCCTAAAAAGAAAGGCAAGGCTTGGAGTACAAGGGTCAATTCTATTGCTTTTTGTGTGTATTCAGACTCCCTTTTCTTCAATTTTTCCAAATAATCAACATATTCAAAAATTCTGTAAAAGATACTCCAAATCATACTCCCTCCATCTCAATTCATATACCACACTTTCCTTTTTAGTCAATCCTAAAAAGAACGACACCTTTCTATATATAAAACCAATTCAACTTTTAACTTCTCAATTAATTTAGACCACAAGTTTCAAAAGTGAGTCTAAGAAAGATAATTTTTTTATCACATAAATTGGAATAGAGAGACTAATTGTTGTACTAGTTAAATTTAGAGAAACCTGAAGATTAGGGTTTCGGGAAAGAGAAGAGGAGAGATTTGGAAGAGAGAGGAGGCGAGTGATGATAAGGTTCCACGAACGGCTAACACATGCTGCTGCTGCACATTCTACTGCCGGAAGCTTAGACAAAATGTTGTGTAGAAGGTCTTCTCCGATCATATCAATCGTCGCCGCCGCCATCTCCTCCTGTTTCTGCCTTGGTTTCGCCGCCATTTTTCCTGAGCTGAAATCCCCACGTATTGGTTGTGTGTGTTGTCTTCTGCCCTTCTGCAGCTTTTAGGATGCTAATTTTAAAAATAGCCGAAATGTAGTATTTAAAACTTAGCCGCCTGTCCTCTTTGTTTTGTTTAAATGCTTAGCCGATACAGTCAAACCTTTCTATAATAGCCTTGAAATAAATAAAATTGATTATTATAGCAAAGTATTGTTATAAAGAATATATATTAACATAACATGAAAATTAATTCCAAAGTAACTTGACTTTTATAGTGAATAGTTGTTATATAGCAATGTTGTTATAGAGAGGTTTAACGATCTATACCTTTGTTGTTCTCGTAGTTCAACAGTGTTGAGCCTCCCATGCTTCCTAGATTGAAAATTTGATGGCAAATATCTAAATTGGTAGCATGACCAATCAAGCTACTACAAGCGCGTAAGGGATTTAGAGCGGGTTCTGTAAGTTCAATTAAACGCCTTGCTTTTGGCTCGAATTGTGTATATATATATCAAAAGAAGAAGAAATTAGAATGTATGCATGTAATGAGATAATGCTCATTTTGAACCCCTTCGACTACATATAATTAGACTTTTTCTCTAAAACCTTTGCTCTTATGCATATATATGTGATTCCAATTCAAATGGTACCATTTTATGGTTCGGAGTTCTTATCATTTTAAGCTATAACAACAACAATGACAACATACTCAATGTAATTTCACGTCGTGATGGACAAATTTACCTAATATTTATGTTGGCAGGAGGTAGCAGATACACGAAAAAATAGTCAAGATTAGTGGCGAAGCCAGAAATTTTTTCAAGAATATTCAAACTTGAAAAAAGTAAAAATTTTCTCGACAAAAGGTGTTCAATATATATTATACCCTGAAGACCTAATACACAAGTTATATACATTGTAATTTTTCTTCTTAGGATGGTCAATTGACCACCCTTAAGATGGTGTTGCTTCGACCCTCGTCAAGATAGGAACAAGTGACCCTAGCATCATTATTAATATTCTAAAAATATTAATAATGTTATAGCATATTATCATGTCTTATTATTCAAGTTACTAATTTGATTTATTCAGGAAGCTGAAAAAGTACGTTGATTAATTAAGATAATATATCAAGTATTGACAATTAAGTATATAGTTTAAAAAAGTAGTTATTGGTCTTTGGGTGCCAATGAGGAAACTAGATACGTACCATTTTTCTTAGAACTAGCCAAATTATTTTTTTCCTTTTTGATAATGTTGATTTTTTACCTCTTACTAGCACAAAAACTTAAGACTAGGCAGTTTTACATGGAGAACTACGACATTAATATATGAAGATTGATCAATGGAGACAGATGAATCTAGCTAGGATCTAAATGTCAATGGATTTAGAATGTATATTATTTTATGTACACATTTACAACAACAAAAAAGTGCACATGCATATATAATTCGAGTCAAAGCAATAGATTCAGTTAAACTCATAATTAAAATGTGATTTCGCATTTGATCAGAGAACATATACACTATCGTGGAGCCGAAGAAGTCCCTGTTGGAAACACAAACTTCAGGCATATGGATTTTACTTGAAAATCGAAACTATAATATAAAGTTTTCAAGATGGGTATCGCTATCGGAGCTTTTGCCATAATAGTAAGAGTGCAACACGTGATTGGTATTTAAATGAAGAGTACAACAAGATTTATCAGTATAAAAAATAGGCAAGTCCGGTGCATGAAGCATCTAGCATTCACGCAGGATCTAGGGAATGGCCGCAATATTCTGAGGGGTGTGATATAGACAACCTTATAATCCCGATGCAAGCATCAGTGGTTGATTTCACGACTTGAACTCGTAACTTATAGGTCATACGGAGACAACTCTAACATTGCTCCAAGATTTATCAGTACGTACTGAAAACATTACCATTGGGAAACACATAAAAAGTGGAACATCTCAAAAACTTGCAGCAGAATATGCAGTGTTGATCACTAGCAAAGCAATCGAAATCACATGCATTAACGGCATTTAATGACAAGGGAGCTGGATAAGTATATCACTGATTAAGATAATATATTATGTATTCAGTGTGTAGTTAAAAAAAAAGTAAGTTTAGTGGTTTTTAAGTGCCAATAAAGAAACTAGATACGTACCATTTTACTTGGAAGAAATCGTGCAGACATAGCAAGACCCTGACTCTACATGTGCATTAATGTACAACAACTTAAGTAAGACTAGCAAGTTGTACATGGAAAATTGTTAGGGTCCTCTTATTTTACAATAAAGTAACTGTAATTTTTGGATCAGCTTGCGCATACTTGGACTGTTTCATGCACATCTGGACTGTTCGACTAGATATTTATCGCCTCCTACCTGCACAGATACCGTGTACGTGAAGCGTGATAGGCCTGCGCTAGGGAGCATTATAGGGAGGAAAGGGAACTCGGATGGTGGATGATTCGGGAAGGCCATGTCATTTGACGTAAATGGAAGGTTTTTCCCTATTAGAGAAGCCCTCTGAAGTGAAGGAAAATGGATGAATTTTTGAAAAAAAGGGAAGCGTAACTCTACCCACCAAAAGCTTGAACAAATGGGAAAAAGTTGTAGCATTTTGCGTCTCTTACTAAGAATCGTCAAGCTCTTATAATGCTGCAAAAGATGGATTTTAGAGAAAAACTTTTTTCTTATAATGGTGATGCTCGAACTGGCTGGCCACACCTCAACTATTCTATTGAATACCTGTTAATTTCTACTAATATATATATCAAATAACTTTGCCTACCAAAGTTTAGGTAGATGAGAAATGATAGAATCATGGAGAAGAAGTACATGTTGGAAACACAAACTTCATAGACAAAATTAACTTTGAAATCTAATCAGAGATTGGATCCAAACTAAGTGGATTCAAAGCGAATGTAAAAAAGGGCAGCTGAGTGCACTAAGCTCTCGCTATGCGCGGGACGCAGGGTCCAAGGAAGGGCCGGACCACAAGGGCCTATTGTACGCAGTCTTATCCTGCATTTTTGCAAGAGGTTGTTTTCACTGCTTTAACCTCATGATTACATGGCAATAACTTTACCAGTTATGCGAAGGCTCCCTTCAAAACGACCGTATAGTACAAAAAGATTTATTTTGTACCGGAAACATCACCATTGGGAAAGACAAATAAGGTGGAACATTTTAATAACTGCTGAAAACTAGAGTGTTGACTAGGAAAGCAATCGAAATCACATGCATCAACGGTCATAGTATTTAATAAGATTCAAGCTGAATATATCTAAGTATTATTAGTTTAAGAAAATGTATCATGTATAGACAGTATATTTAAATAAAAGTAGGTTAGTGTTCTGTGAATGCCAGCAAAGAAAATAGATGCAACTCTATGATTGCAGTAATATAAAACCTAGGACTAATATTTTGCAGAAAAAATAATTGATAAAATTTTAAAATGTTGCAGAAGAAAGGGGTTACCTTGGCGTAACTGGTAAAGTTAATGTCATGTGACCAGGAGGTCACGAGCCGTGGAAACAGTCTCTTGCAAAAATGCAGGGTAAGGCTGCGTACAATAGACCCTTGTGGTCCGATCCGTCATCGGACCCCGCGCATGCGGAAGTTTAATACACTGGGCTGTTTTTTTTATTTATTTATTAAAATGTTGTAGAAGATGATCTAATGAGAACAGAAATACAATCATGTTAGCACCAAAAGTCATGTTAGAAACAAAATTTCATAGGCATATGGAAAAGTCATTAGATGGACAGATCCAAGATATGTGGGATATGGCTGTGATTTATTAGACATACATGTGTTTTAATTTTTTCAAAAACTACTTGGTTCGAGTCAAAAGCAATATGTGCAAAGGATTCTTTGAATTTCTATCATCTTGATGGTAAGCGTCAAGAAGTGTGATCAGATGGACACGATTCCTCCACCATTAACCAGAAGTTTTAGAGTCGGACTTTACGAACGGAGAAACTCTTTGAATTTCTACCATCTAGATATTTACCATCAAGAAGTGTGATCAGATAGATATGACCCCCCACCATTAATCAGAAATTTTAGAGTCGAACCTTACGAATGGAGAAACTCTTTGAACTTCTATCATCTTGATGTTTTCTATCAAGAGGTGTGATCAGATGGATATGATTCCTCCACCGTTAACAAGAAGTTTTAGAGTCAAACATTACGAATGAAGAAACCCTTGATAGGATAACTTCCCCTTTTATTGAGCCTTATCCGCCCAGAATCTGGATTAGTTGGCCAATAAGTTTCGGATACAGGATGGTTAAACCAAAAATTGCAATGACATGTTCAAGGACATAAATGCCATTTATAATATATGTACATATAGATACATTGAGATGAGGGCCTATCCGAAACAACCTCTATCTTACCCTCCCCAGACGCCACTTGTGGGATCACATTAGGTATGTTGTTGTTGTTGTACATATAGATATATTATCTACATAGCGAAAAATTTCGGGGAATCTATTTTTTTTTAAAAACCAAAAAAAAAAAAAAAGAGTGCCCTGCCAACAAACTTGGTAAGTATACACAGTGATTTAAAAACACTATGCAAATTTTCAAAAAATAAGTAAAACATAAGGATTTAGCCTGACAATTCAGATACATTTTGCTTAGGTGAGATAAAAAACCCAATCATGAACTGTGAAAAATGGACAGCCCGATGTATAAAGTATCCCGCGTTCACACAGGGTCCGAGAAGGGCCGCCCCAAGGAGGCCTCCTTGGGGTGCGGCCCCAGGAGAAGAGGTTAATGCACTGCATGAGAACCAGAAATATAGGCAAAATCTCAGAAAGCAAAGCATTTCTTTTTCTTAGAAACCAAAGAACAACTTTACCATTTCCCTACTTGATGTACACAAAAGGCATTGCCACTAATCTAGATCTGCAGCAATGCTTATTTCTTTTATTCAGAATTATGATATACAACTCTAAGAGCTTTAACAATTGAGACTAAGTATATTTGGTAAACCACAAAAAGGTAAAAGAGTTACTGACTTTGACGACGAAGGCGCTCATTTTCATTA